GATGCAGGGCTCACTTGCCAGCCGCGTACACCTCGGCCGTGTCGAACAGGTTAACTCCACTCTCGTAGGCGATGGTCATCAGCTGCTCAGCCACCTGGGGAGAGGGGAGAGGGGAGGGCTGGGGCTCACCCCGAGCAGCCAGCCCCCTGGCACACAACCACCAAGGCTGGAAAAGACCTTGAAGATCGAGCCCAGCCTACGACCCACGAGGGAGGGAACCCCAGGGCTGCCAGGGGCACAGGCAGCTGAGGTGAGTGAGGAGCCACCTGCCATGAACAACCCACTTGTGGAAGAAAAAGATGTAGTAATAAATATTACTAAATTAAATCACATGCCATATAACGTATTATATTATTATACTTCATTAAAACATTATTAATACCATGCTGTGGCTATTTTGTAATAAATATTGTTTAATATGTGGTATATAATATTAACATGTATCTTATCATGCAAAAAATAAGGCACCAGGCAGGTCCCTGTAAGCTGAGATCCTGCAACTGCTGCCCATGACATACACAACACAAAAATAGTTCCCCATTTCTGCCCCAGGCACGGTGCCAACGGCAATGGAAAGGAGACAGGTTTGCTCCAAACACCACAAAATGAGGGATCCTGTTGTAGGATGGGGAGGGATTGTTATTTTTTTCCACGCTGAGCCCTGGAGATGTCAGCTTCCTTCTGGTTTGTGTGGCAGCAGCACCAGCTTTGCACTGCTCTGCCATTTCCCCACACAGAGCAGGCTCCCCTGTTCCCGTAGCCATGGTTGCATGTAAAAATACCTCCTCTTGCTTTTCCTTCATGCATCACACTCACACCCAGCCCCACTTACCTCGTCAGAGATTTGACCTCCAAAAGTGACCCACGTCCCTAGAGAGAGTGAAACGACTCGTTACTACCAGAGGGGTTTGTCCCCAAAAGCTCCCTCTGCCAAAACTCAGGCTCCTCGGGATTGAACAGGTTTGAAATGGGATGAACTGGTTTAGGGGCAGGCACTGGAGCCCCTTCACCCGGGGGACAGTGGGGAGGGGTGTATGGACCTGGGACCAACACACAGACCCACCCAGAGAAGCACCAGCAAGAGCCTGTGCTGCCAAAACACCTCGTTTTACTGAAACCTGAAGCTCTTCACAAAACTGAACATTTCCCAAAGCTCCAATTTGATAAACTGGGGAAAAAAAAAAGAAAAAGCTGCCAAAAGGTGTCATTTGGGGAATGAAACTCTTCCTAAATCAGTGCTTCAGCATTTAGAATCATGCAAGTCACAATTAGAATAAAAAATAAATAAAGAAATAGAAGTATTTCTATTGACATGAAGTATTTGAAGCAACTTTTCCCCAGGAAGGTTTCCCTAAAGCCAAAGCCTGGGAGCAGCACCCTCCCCAGCCAGCCCAGCTGCAGACTCTTGCCTATTCATGGGAAAAGCTTGGAGCATGATTGCTTTATGAGCACTGCTTGGAAAAAATAAAGAGAATATCCTGGGGTGGAAACAGTGTGTGGAATTCACTGGATATTGCTAAAGTAGGAGAAAACTGTTCCCTATATCTATTTTATACATATACATTAGGAATATTGTTTCATATATATTTGAAATATATATATAGGAAATACATATTCCTAGGTATATACCAGGAATGTGTGTTTTCAAAGCTACAGGAAGACAGCTCTTCATCACAGCTTTTCCCTGCTCTTCCCAACACCTACACACCAGCTACGTCTGACATGACACGTTACTCACTGCCTGGATGGGTCAGGGCTCACGTGGCTCACACAAAACCCCCCAGAACTCTAAATCCTGCCTTACATCATCCCTCCAGGAGGAAGACAAGGGGCTTCAGGCCCTGAGCTGGAAAATACTCTGGGATTTGGGCAAGAGGGAGGAAAGAGCAGGGACAGGGACAGGGCAGGCTCTGGGGCTGCTAAGGGAGGGAAAAACATTTAAAGAGTGGCTCCTGCCTGAGCTTGCAAAGGGGCTGGTGTGAAAGGTCCATCAGTGCTCCCACATCTCCAGAAGAAATGTCAGAGCATCCCCAGCCCTTGCTGGGTGTGACAATTAACTTCTTCCAGGGAACTGGGCAGGGACTGGGGAGGCCAGGGCTGAGTGGCTGGGTTTGGCTCAGCCAGACTTTGCACCCCAGTGCTGCTTTCTCCATCATCTAGATCTTCCATCCCACAAAATTGAGGAAAAAATTGGGTTTTTTCCTCCTTTTCCTCCTTCCACCCTGCTGGTTGTATCTCAAAGACCTCAGGAGAGCTACTTTTCCCTTATCATTGGACTAAACCATTCTGGTCCTGCACAATAAAGATAAAAATGAAAATAGGTTTCAGCCCATCATTAAGCTTCTTTATGCAGGTGACAAAAAAACAGCCCAAATGAAGCCAAATTTCCACATTAAAGCCTTAGAAATGTTATTTTCATGGGAGTACATTAAAATGCATTTCAACTGGAAAATGCATGGAGACTGTTGATCCTGACATGGATTTTGCTGAAGTCTGCAGACAAGTCCCCAGCACAGGCAAGGGGAAAAGGCTTTTTTTTTTTTTCTATCCCTTGGAGATTGACATTCAACTCTTGAATTTACACCACTTTGAAGTGAAAACAGGCACCAGGTCCCACTGGGCAGCAAAGGGGGCAAAACACTCGTGTGTTGGGGCACATGGAGGGCAGCCCCAAGCTGGCAGTGCCTCATGCCAACAACAAGTACTTCATTTCTTTAAAGATAAGTTGGAAATATATGTAACATGGGTTTACCTGCCCTACACCTGCCTGTTCCTGACCCCCACCCCGTGCTCCCAGACCCCAGTGGGGGTCACCCAAGGGGTCAGGGACCCCTTAACAGCCAAGCATCATGAGCAGCCCACTGGGGAGAAGAATCTTTAGGGCATTTTTTTCCTTGATAACTGCAAAAACAAGCAGGAAGGGGAGTCTTTACTTGGCAAGAAGGTGTCTGGAGCACCAGAGGTGGTTGGGAAAGCAAGATGCTCTGTTAGGGTCCCAGCCAGGGCAGGGAAGGCAGCACAGGAATCCCTCCCAACATCCCCAGGCAGTCAGGGTGGGCACCCACACCCCGACATGGGTGCTCAGCACCCACTGCTCAACTCAGATGAAAAAACACCCCTCCCTCCAGAAAGCACAAGGCACACTTGGCATTTCAAACAACGACTGAGGATGATTCACAGCCTCAGCCAACAGGAGCATCTTGGAAGAAAAACAACAAGAAAGCCTTATTTTTTAAAACCCATTACTTTTCCCCTTACCAAGTCACTGCCTTTCTCTCATCTACCCCAATTAGCTGTTTATAAACATTTCCCTGTCCTGGGTTCAGCCTCTGGCAGACAGCCCCCCCCCC